TATATATATATATATATATATATATATATATATATATATATATATATAACATACACACACACACACACACACACACACACACACACACACACACACATATATTATATATATATATATATATATATATATATATATATATATATATAATATATATATATATATATATATATATATATATATATATATATATATATATATATATTATATATATATATATATATATATATATATATATATATATATATATATATATATATATATATATATGTATGTATGTATGTATGTATATACATGCACATATAATTTGCAAATGCGCATATATACGTGTATGTATGTGTGTATGAATGTATGTATATATATACTGTACATATATATATATATATATATATATATATATATATATATATATATATATATATATATATATATATATATATATATATATATATATATATATATATATATATATATATATATATATATATATATATATATATATATATATATATATATATATATATATATATACACACACATCTATGTGTGTGTGTGTATACATACACATACACACACACACACAGTTTCCTTACTTTGAGTTCCAAGACAGGGAGCTGCACACCTGATCCCCAGGACCTCATCAATGCTCTTATAAGCCGCTGCTCTGCCTCCTCAAGGCACCCTGTCCTCCTCAAGGCAAAAGGGACATACGGACGTGACCTTGTCCGAAGGCTGAAATTCCCGAAAAGGGATGAAATCTTTGTTCTGGGATTCCTCGCGGATGCCAAAGCAACGGGACGGCCGCCAGCAGATTTGTTTTGTTTCAAGATCAGCTGTTTGTTTAATCCAGGAGCTCGATGACGAAGTCGAAGCCAAGGCCTTGCAACGGGTCGGGAACGGACGTCTCTGATTGGTTTGCACACATGATTAGCATTATCCTTCAAGGTTCGGTCGATGGGTTAGGCGTCATCCCAAGCAGGATAAAGGTCAGGGGTCAAGATTTCAAAGGGGAGCAGAAGGAGTAGGGGCGCAAAGGGAACATATAAGCCCTTCGGTCCTCAAGATTCGGCAGTCCAGGAGCTCACGAAGACCACGGTAAGAAGCCTGGGAAATCTGAGACCCATTGCCACGTGTCAGCTGTGGCGTTGGAGTCATCTGCCTTTGTTTTGTTATACATTTTGCTTTTCAGTCAATTCCGCTCGCGCGCTGATGTGCGTGATTTGATTAACATCGAAATTCAATTTACATCATCTAAGAAAAAATGCTGAGCTAACATGTAAAACGACAGGCATCGGGAAGTTTCATCTTCATAACTGCTTTTACGTTCGACGATGACATAATGACATTATATCAGTATTATAGTAATTGAAAAGTACTGAAATAGATGATAATAATGATGGTGATGATGAGAACAGTAGCAGTTATGGTACAATAGTAACAATTATAGCAGTTATAGTAGTGGTAGCAGTAATAATAATAATAATAATAATAAGTAGTAATGATGATAAGAACAATAATAGCAGTAATAATTAGATATAATGAAAATACTATTGACTAAATTCTTGATAAATTAATTGATTAATAACAATAAATGCTTCCCGAAAAGGCCAAGCTCCTCAGGGTCCTTCTCCCTCGACGCTCCCTTCAGATGCGGTTCCTCGCCCTCGTCCTCCTCCTGGCTCTCGCCGTCGCCTTCGTCGGCGCCAAGTCCTTGGCCTGCTGTGGCGGCGGAGGTCACCACGGCGGTCACGGGGAGGAGGCAACGGAGGTCACCATGGAGGTCATGGCGGTGGAGGCTTCGGCGGAGGCTTCGGAGGCGGTGGAGGACTGGGAGGTGAGTACTCCGAGGGAGATGGCGTGTGGAAGACTCCCTGACGGCCCGCTTCATCCGGCGGAAGCACTCCCTCCTTTCTCCTCCTCATAGCGGTTCCTCTGGCGCTGGCCTGCAGCCTTCTTCTCTGGCTTGCATTTGCAATATTTTTGCAATCATCGGCATTGGTTATGATTGACATGTATGGAGTGGAATTTCCTTCTACGTGTTAGTTTACCTGATTTATATATATATATATATATATATATATATATATATATATATATATATATATATATATATATATATATATATATATATATATATATATATATATATATATATATATATATATATATATATATATATATATATATATATATATATATATATATATATATATATATATATATATGTGTGTGTGTGTGTGTGTGTGTGTGTGTGTGTGTGTGTGTGTGTGTGTGTGTGTGTGTGTGTGTGTGTACTCGCACGTCTTTGTTTGATTTGATTATTGTGTCCGTTAGAGAGAGGAAAAAGTCTTGCATAACCCGCAAAGACCACATGCAGACTGCACGCTGAAAATCATATTTATTATTATTTTTTTCCCCAAAACGCATTATTATATAAAGGGAAAAAACTATCTAACGAACTAAAATGAAAACATCTAATGAAACACTAAAATACACATTTGTAATAATGAAAAAATATATATTCGCAGAAATTCTCATCTTCACGCTGCATTGTTGAAAATATTTTACATTTTACGAGAAATTGACATTTTTTTCAGGCGGAGGAGGCTTTGGCGGAGGCTTCGGAGGCTGTGAGTAGAGTAGGAAACCATTAGTTGTAATCATTACGGTTGTTATTATCAATATAATCAATTATGCCATTATGGTTGATAGTGATATTATTATCTATTCTTGCTGTTGTTGTTATTCCTAGTAATGGAATGTCACTTTTGTTTATGTTTTCTCTGTTCGTTAATCCATGATCACAGCTCGTTTTTTTCAGGAAACTTCAGAGGAAACAGTGACGAGGAACACGTGACCAACATGTCGTGCTTGCAGTGGTTTTCCTGAATTTTCCCTCTAATGGTCTTTCTCCGATATATATATATATATATATATATATATATATATATATATATATATATATATATATAGCAAATAAATCAAATAAACATGTGTTTTTTAATCTTATTTCATATTGCACCATGAAAGTGGAATTTGGAATTAAATTAATCCGAACAACGGTTGATCAACAATTGGGGAAGATGCACGTCAACAATGCACTCGTTGCCAGATGTACGGAAATAAAGTAATAATTGCCACAAGCACCACAATAATTCAGATGATTTTCTTAAAAAATGAACACCATTTTTCGTGAATTACATTGTGCTATTAACAACGTCGCCACGTCGCGACAGGAGCCCCGCCCAGTACGAGAGGAACGGTGGGGTGGGGGGCGAGTGGTGGTTCGGTGACCCCCTCCATTATCCCCCCCCCCACATCACGACCGCCCCGCCGGGGCAGTCCCCTAGCGTCCGCCAGGCTCCCGCTCCTGCCGGACGGATGGAAGGCCCTGTCTCTGGTCGTGTTGGTGCGGGCCTGCGCCGCCAACTATAGGGAGAGGCGGTTGGGTGCGGGGCCGCGGGTGGCGGGGCGGGCTGCCGGGCGGGGCTGGGAGCGCGGGCCGCCGGAGCCGAGCGCCGCCCTTGGCCTGCTGTGTGGGCGGCGGCGGCGGCCGCGCGTCTCCACTCGGTCCGTTCCCCCGTGCCGCCGCCTGGCCTGAGCGGGCGGGCGGCGCGGCGGCCTGCCCAGCGAGGCCGTTCAGCCTAGGGGGGTGGAGAGGAGATTGTGGGCCTGGGGGCTGCGGTGGCGGCGGCGCCTCCTGGGTTGGCCTGCCAGCCACGTCTTCCTTGGCTGGCCAGGGGACGGCTTTTCCCTACCCTTTGGCCCCCCGCGCCCTCTCGGGCCGAGGGCGGCGGGCCCTGGCCTGAGATTACGCCCCTTGGCGCCAGAGGGCCGATGGGGGTAAGCCCGAGCCAACCCCTGTTCTAAGGAAGACGAGGGCAGGCCAGGCCAGGGCCGCCGCCCTCGGCCCGAGAGGGCGCGGGGGGCCAAAGGGGTAGGGAAAAGCCGTCCCCTGGCCAGCCAAGGAAGACGTGGCTGGCAGGCCAACCCAGGAGGCGCCGCCGCCACCGCAGCCCCCAGGCCCAATCTCCTCTCCACCCCCCTAGGCTGAACGGCTCGCTGGGCAGGCCGCCGCGCGCCGCCCCGCTCAGGCCAGGCGGCGGCACGGGGGAACGGACCGAGTGGGAGACGCGCGGCCGCCGCCGCCGCCACACAGCAGGCCAAGGGCGGCGCTCGGCTCCGGCGGCCCGCGCTCCCAGCCCGCCCGGCAGCCCGCCCCGCCACCCGCGGCCCCGCACCCAACCGCCTCTCCCTATAGTTGGCGGCGCAGGCCCGCAACCAACACGACCAGAGACAGGGCCTTCCATCCGTCCGGCAGGAGCGGGAGCCTGGCGGACGCTAGGGGGACTGCCCCCCGGCGGGGCGGGTGATTGGGGGGGGGGGATAATGGAGGGGGTCACCGAACCACCACTCGCCCCCACCCCACGTTCCTCTCGTACTGGGCGGGCTCCTGTCGCGACGTGGCGACGTTGTTAATAGCACAATGTAATTCACGAAAAATGGTGTTCATTTTTTAAGAAAATCATCTGAATTATTGTGGTGCTTGTGGCAATTATTACTTTATTTCCGTACATCTGGCAACGAGTGCATTGTTGACGTGCATCTTCCCCAATTGTTGATCAACCGTTGTTCGGATTAATTTAATTCCAAATTCCACTTTCATGGTGCAATATGAAATAAGATTAAAAACACATGAGTTTATTTGATTTATTTGAAGTGATATATATATATATATATATATATATATATAATATATATATATATATATATATAGGAGAAAGACCATTAGAGGGAAAATTCAGGAAAACCACTGCAAGCACGACATGTTGGTCACGTGTTCCTCGTCACTGTTTCCTCTGAAGTTTCCTGAAAAAAAAGAGCTGTGATCATGGATTAACGACAACAGAGAAAACATAAACAAAAGTGACATTCCATTACTAGGAATAACAACAGCAAGAATAGATAATAATATCACTATCAACCATAATGGCATAATTGAT